TGACGGTAAATTTCGGCGCAAAAAATTTTTTTATAATAGTTCGGTCGGTAATCGGGCGGCCCCAAAACAGACGGCCGTGGTTCGTATCACGATCACACACTTATTTTTTTTACTGTTTTTTCTATACCTGATCATTGCTTTCTTTATTTTTTTTTATTTCCAAAATACATTATTTATCAAAAAAAAAACGAGCAAAGCTCGGTCTTCCAGGTACTTTTTTTATACGAGTACACAGAACAAAGAATTATTAGAATATGAAATGAATGTCATGAGGTAATGAGATCCACCCAAGCCTTTCGGAAAAAAAAATTTTTTAATTTTCAAAAAAAAATTACGAAAACGTTTCTTCTCCGTTTTGTGGTTGGTGGTAGCACCTTGGAAAATGTTTCCTAAGTCCATAGACAAACTGTGGTATGTTCGGAAAAGTTGAAATACCTATCGCTACAATTTTTATTACAATAATGAAGAAGTCCACCACACAAAAGAGGGTACACAAAATTAAAAATAGACAAACAAATTAATGGAATTCACAATTTGGCGGCCGTATCACTTCATAGCGATCTCTTCCAGGCAACCAATTGCGTAAAGGAACTTTACTACGTAGGTTGTGCAATAGTATAGTATATAATGCAGTAGTAGAGTTTAACAGCCTGTACGGTAAAAGATTTTTCAAAAAATTACGTTTTGTGGTTTGGCACCTTTAAAATGAGCTTCCTTTAAATAAAGTGGAGTAGAAACATGAAATAGAACACAGTAGGTACAACATAGAAAGAATACAGTACAAATTCCGGCGAAGTAGAGCATGGCCCCACTTGAGACCCCCCCCCCCGCATACGGCCATTGTGATTTTAAGGTAGGGCATTGCCCTACAATGCCCCCCCCCCCCCCCTAGCTACGGCCCCAATATTCAAAAGGTTGTCAACGCATCTGTAACCCTCGGGTGTGGCAGATGTCCATGGGTGGCGGTATTCAATAAACATCAAGTGAACCGTCTGCTCGTTTGACAACTTTTCGCATAAAAAAATCATTTTAATTACAGCCACAATCCACAAGACCTACAAAACCCCTTTAAATGTCTATAATGGTTGCTGTTTCTCCCTTAGCTGCGGTTTATGGGCATCATGACTTTAGTCCAATAAGCTCTTTTTACAAAGCTTGATAAAAAATCTTTAAAAACCTAAAAAAACCGGTTTTCTTTTTAAAGTAATCGGTATAAAACCGGTGTGTAAAATTGTAATCGGTTTACATCTTTGAGGTCCATGTAGCAAGGCGCCTCAGCGCTCTCTGTTCAACGTGTGGAATTGGAAGAGAGCCGAAACAACGCCGCGGTGGCGCGGTGTTTTGGCCGGCGCGTTCGAATTAATTTTAATGAATTAAATTGATATTTAGAAATATCTTACATCAATCAACAAATTAAAACAACAATCCTTTTTATTAATATATTCTACACCACTGACATTAATTTCATTAAGATTTGTTCATGTATTACGTTCAATTTTGGTTTAGAATTTCTCTTTTAGAGGTAGTTTCATGATTTTTTTCTATCGAGAAAATATATCGAGAATGTTTTGGAAACAATGTTCCCTTAGAACATATATTTTTTTGGTGCTATAAAATGTGTAGATTTTGCTAAAAATCTTTTGAAAAACCTATTTTTACTGCATACAGCGCCTTACGTGATAACCGCCGCCGATGGATATTTGCAACACCCGCAAGGTTACAGTGCTTAAGGTTAAAGTGGGCCCCGTCTACCTTACCAGACGAAACGCAGAAGTACAACACTTCCCATTTCCCGCCGGTTCCCTTTGAGGAGGATCCGTGCAACAGCCGAAGCTAGTGCGTGGCCGTGCTAAGTGATAAGTCGGCACTTAATGAAAACAAAAAAACTTCCAAATGGTAATCTATATGTAAACAACGAATCTATATCTATATCAAAAACCGTCCTGTCCACACTTTAAACATACAAATGAACGATCGATTCGAACTGATTTCGATTCTAATAAAATTTTATAAAAAGATACAAAATATAAATTACAATATGTACACAATTCACTAGTGCTAGTAGACGAGAAGATAATATTATTCACCATTGCAAATACGAATAATTAATACGAAATTGAAAATAGCGGGGGAATAGAGATTTTTCTTTTTAAATTTAATATACGATTAGGTACGTAAATATCAATACAGCCAATATGCTAATATCGATTTCGGAATTTGATTACAAATTTAATAAAATCTTTTTAATACTGATATAAATTAAGTTCGAGTTTATTTAACTCAAATTGATAGGTTTTTTCGTAATTGCACATTTTTATATATCAAGAAGCCGTGTCTGATCTAGATCTAGTAGTGAATTTTTCTTTAAATTATTTATTAAAATTAAGTATTTTTCTTCTTACATACGAAATATTCACCTTTCATAGATTTTATTTGATGACTTCGTGGCGCAGTCGCTGATACCTTGGTATCAGCTTTGGCGTCGGGGTTCGTGGGTTCGATTCCCACACGGGAATTTGTGTGGTAGATAGTTACCCACAGATAGTTGTTCCGCATCTGGGTCTTTATCCGCGTGAAATTTATGTTTGTAAAACAAATCCTTACAACACAGGATAATGTTATCCCAAAGTAAGGGCAATGTTTTTTTTTAAAATGAAGAATGAAGAATAATTTATTGTTTTATTTAAAAAAATATATATGAAATAAAATTATTATTTCGTTATTAAATTTGACTCTTCCACGCGTTTTGCTCCTACTCTTACTCGCTACGTCGCCCCCGAGGGCTGAGTGTCGCTTCGCCCACTCTGTCTTCGCTCCGCTACTTAAAAAAAAAAATTAAAATAATGCGGCATCCTAAGGGAGCCTATTACTAAGACTTCGCTGTCTGTCTGTCCGTCTGTCACCAGCACAGAACACTTTTGCTCAGAGTCACCAACCTGATCTCAAGAACCGTGGTAGTTAGGCAGTTAAAATTTTCACATATGATGTATTTCTGTTGCCGGTATAACAGCAAATACTTAAATTAAATGGGGCTCCCATACAACAGAAATGTTTTTTTTTTTGCCGTTTTTATACATAACGGTACCGAACCTTTCGTGCGTGAGTCCCAAAGAGAATGTAATCACTACGTTTATGGTGAGTCCGACTGTCACTTAGACGGTTTTTTCGTTTTATTTAGGAATGTTAATAACAAAATGGTCGCAAAGTTAAAAACGTTATTAATGACTATTGTATTCCTAGATAGAGCCTGGCAGTAAACATTTCATCTTAACATTTTTTAGTGGATTATATTGCTTTTAGTGTCAACAAATGTGTTACAAATAATTTATAGAGTTCATATCTGTATAGAAATCACATAAATTTAATTTTATTTTGTGATTATAGTGACAGGAATATTTTTTATTTTACTAAGGTTAAAACAAAATGACCTGTTTGAATATCTTGTCATTCATATGCTATTTGTGTGATAATTGGCTTTACGTTTAGCTCACCATTTCTTCTGTTTGCGCTGAAGTTTGAATCATTGGTAACCATGACAACGTAAGTTGTCACCACGCAAGTTCACATTCATATAATTTCTTGCGCACAACGTTTTAATTATAAAAACTCCAATCTTATGTTGGTTGTAAAGCTTAAATGTGGTAAATGTGAAAAGGTTTACTCATTGACCATGTGATAGGAAAGGGATTAAAATAAAGTATTGTAAGACAAGGTATGTATATAAAATTACGTTTCAATGTTTCTCGGTCACAAAACGATAATATGATAATGTCAAATTTTGGCAGAGGCTAATTTAGTTCTAAAAAGAAATGATAAATACAAATACGAGGTAGATATCACACTAGGGTACTGAAACAAAGGCACTCAAATTACGCCAATTGGTGTAATTAGATTGCAATTCTTATAGACCGCTATCTCTTTCCATTTCATACGTTCTATATCATCCATCACATTCACTTATATACATGTATGTCATATAATGTAAAGCGTATCAATTTTTAATCGCCGCGCAGTATGGACATGCGACATCTTTATAAAAAAATCATTGCTAAAAAGAATATTTGGATAACATATCTGCAACATATTTGCAAATTTGAGTTAAAGTAAAAAATTGGTAAAATATTGGATGCCAACGTATTTAAAAGTGGAACCCGATTACCACACTCATGAAACTGTGATTACTTTTACTGTGATAGGACCACGCAACAGTTTTCGCTGTTGCTGGACCTCACAGAGGACCGGCGTAAAGTTGCAGTGTCGTCTGGTGAGTGAGATAGCCGGGGCCCACATTATTAAAAGGTGGCAACACATCTGCAACCGGTGTTGCAAATGTCTGTGGGCGACGGTTATCACGTAACATCAGTTGAAGCGCCAGCTCGTTTGCCACTTTTTCACATAAAAAAACACCAGAGGATATGTGAAAGTATAATATTTCATGCTGGTCTTTGTGTTACTTCCCCGGATGAGCTTGCCCGTTCATGTAACAGCAGCGTCGGTTTAAACACTTAACTAACTTAGTAGAATAACTACTAAGTAAAATAACGCTCAAATTAACACTGAAAATTAATGCTCGTAGGAAATTATCATTAGCATTGAAATTAGGCCGAAATATAAATTCTACCTGATTTACGGGAAATTGTTTCTTTCTTGATCATGCTAAAATAAACTTTGCAGGACTGGACAAACATTTAAATTAAAATGCAGAATACACCTAGAAGGAAAACGGAAAACCTAGGAGTAAAGAATTAACCAAAGATGAATCGCCTCTGATTTCTAGAAAATCGCAAGAGAATTTTATAAAGGATGTCACCACTCCACGTAAATATCTGCAGAGGACCTCACCGTCTGATATTTACGGTAAAAAGAAGCCAAACGTATTGCAAACACCAAAAAAGTCAAATATTGTATCATCAAATACCGCTAGAAATGTATCACCGATGAAGGATTTCTTAAAATCCACTCCATCCGTCAGTCAAGCCAGTTTAAGAAGCACAACGAAAATGGCGCCAGACAGAACAACCCAGGCAAAGACTGTTGCACTTGCAGCCAGGAAAAGCACGCCGCGTGTAGTTAGAGCCCAAGCGCCTGGCAATGTTACCGTAAATTCGCCCGTCACCAACAGAAAACTGAATTTGACAAATGAAAAAGCAAACTCAAGTAATAATCACAAAGTCAACGAAGAACCCAAAACTAAGGCTTCGGAAAGCGAGGGAAAAGTTAATTCCAACATGGCCGACATATTTACGCGGCAGCGTTCGAAAACGCGAACATTGGACGAGAGTGAAGCGAAAGTGTTCAGACCCGATGTTGTCAATAATAATGCGGAGATGAAAAATTTATCGCGTAAGCTCAGCGCTAAACCGAAGTCTTTTTTTGTGGATTTAAATGGAGGTCAACCAAAGGTTTGGAATCAATCAATCTTATGGTAGCGATATATAATTTCATATGGTACGGTATAATATCAGCTCATACTCACAAAAAAAATATGTTATGCTGCTTCAGTGCTCTCACAATGACTTTTGTATAATATATTCCTAAGGTATAGTAATGAGATGGTCACAATGGATTTGAAATGTCTAAATGAGAATGAAAACCTCAAAACAATGATTTAAAAAAATAACAAGAAAAGTACTTTATTTTTATCAACCCTTGCTTGGTTTGGGCTTTGTAAAAATATTTCCCAAATTATAATATCACTTTAAATGGTCACGGAACGTCCATTCAGGTTCATAACATATTTTGAAGAAACTCTCGCTCACATTATACCGTTTTTTAAATTGTTCTCATTCAGACTGAAAAGGAGAGGTCCAGTGAAGAGGAAGTGAGTTACGAGGACGACTTTGAAAGTTACGAATCAGACTTCGACTCATATCACAGCGATGCTCAGAGTGGCGAAGACTCCAGCACTTCAGATGAAAGGAGATCGCCAGAAGATAATGAGAACGAGATCAAAACAGATGACGAATCGGGAACAGCGAGAGAAACCAATTTAAAAGATGTTAAGGACGAGGAACGGATGCTGGATTCAGGTAGACCTTTAAGTTTTTTTTTATCGTCCTTTAAAGGATAAGATTGTTGCGTGATTTACAGTGTTCTGGGGAGAATAACATCGTGTGACGAATCCTTCATTTGTTTTAAAGCAAGCAGGTGGTTCACCTGATATTAAGTGATTACCGTCGCCATGGACATTTATAACACCATTGGAGTGGCAGATGTGTTACTAACTTAGAGATTCCGTTTCCCTCAGTCACTAGATAAAACGCAATAGTGCTTATCCGTGGTTGTTATCGTGCTTCTGCATGGACCCAGTAAGACAAAGTAAAAAGTAAATTAAAAGTAACATTCTATACATGTCCCATTGGTGGGCAAAACCTCCTCTTTACAGAGGAGGCCCCACTGCGAATTGGCGAACATCACAAATTTCTGAAGTGTTTTTTGTTACTATTTCGAAAATATGCAGGTTTCCTAACGATATTTTTTCCTTCACAGCTGAGCACGTGATAAGTCAGCACTTAAAATTAACAATTTCATTGGTGCCGCCACCGGGGATCGAACTTAGGTCGCTCCAGTATATTGAATAACAGGCAAGTGCCCGGGCACTGGGCTGTCAGTAAGAATCTGAGAAATATTCAAGAAGAAATTTAAGAATTTAAAATGGGATGGACGGACTACCTAATACTAATTCTGATTCCAAAAGACCGACCACCGCAAACACATACCACGTTGTTTTTTTTTCTCTTTACAATGGAACCTCTTGCTTAGTAAATTTTAAAGTTTTTTATAGTGCTAATCTCTGTTTTAATGTTCAATCTTAAGTGCAGAGATTAGCACTATAAAAAACTTTAAAATTTATAAAAGCAATGGCGATATCTCTCGTTCGAATTATCGTTGTAAAACGATATTCGAAATTGTTTGTATGCTGGAAAGGATATAACAATAGATGCGCCAAGCATTGCTTCAAATGCTAAATAACAATGTAGAAAGAAGGCGTTAAGATTTTCGTCGCTGTGGCTATCAGCCGTTTAGCTCAGTGGCTAGAGCGTCAGGCCGCGAATGCCGAAGACGTGGGTTCGATTCCCACAGCGGCGACAATCTTTTCGTAATTTGATTAATGTTCAATCTTAAGTGCAGAGATTAGCACTATAAAAAACTTTAAAATTTATAAAAGCAATGGCGACATCTCTCGTTCGAATTATAGTTGTAAAACGATATTCGTAATTATTTGTATGCTGGAAAGGATATAACAATAGATGCGCCAAGCATTGCTTCAAATGCTAAATAACAATGTAGAAAGAAGGCGTTAAGATTTTCGTCGCTGTGGCTATCAGCCGTTTAGCTCAGTGGCTAGAGCGTCAGGCCGCGAATGCCGAAGACGTGAGTTCGATTCCCACAGCGGCGACAATCTTTTCGTAATTTTTCTACATGTTTTAAAACTCTTGCTTAGTACTTTATAATTATGTCCAACTTGGTTTATCGTGAAAGGCAAGGGATGGCGTTCAAAAACTTATGGAATGCTTCATCTAGTAATTGTAAACGTAAATCCATAAACAAAAATTAGGGGAAAGAAAAATGAATATAGTCTTTGCAATAGGGTAAGATAGAGAAAGACGTATTCAATTGGGATTAAAGCTATCGATCTCCACAGGCAGCTACGATCTTCGCGAGACGCAAAGATCCGCCCAGAAGAACAAACCTTTGAGGCTCGATTTCATCTTGGAGGGAACTGAGGAAGCTGAGAAGAGATCATCGCTCACAGACGAAGGCTTCCAGGACATGTCCACCTCCAGCGTAGTATCCAACAGTAAGACAATGCACGTCGACGTGCTGGAGAGGTATTTTATGATATAGATTCAAATACAAAAGTAATTGATACAGATTAACAGGATGAGGATCCATAGAGTAATTAGGTTTCAATTTATTATTTTCGGAGTGTGGAAATAACTACTCAGAGCTTGTTAAGGTAATGTTGATGATAGAAGTAACATAACATTACTTATTAATAAGTTTTATCGAGGTTCATTTTAAGCATCTGACGTTTCGAATGTTTAAGCTGGATTGGGATGTCAGGCGTCCTGGTCTCTTTGATGCATTGCTAAAAGTAATAGAACGAACGTAGATAGTTGTCGAAGGTTCGAATCCCGCAGCGCCGCAAGGTTTTGTTCATTTATCTACATATCCATTTTAAAAAAGATGAATTTTGAAAAAAAAAATCATGATCTCGAATTGGCTTTCAAGACACTCCACTTTCCTTGACTTTGGGTAACCGTTTTGTAGGCCCTTCTTCGTGGATTTCAAGACATGCAAGAGGAATAGAAGGAAACGCCACATATTCGAGCGACTGCGTCGCAGGGCCGAAGACATTTTGGGCATGGTCACCCTCCACGAGATGAGATTCACCCTCTTCGAAATGCAACCCGTGCCGTACGACTCGTTCATGGCGGCGTTCGGCCGCAGCGACTGCGCGCAGGTCTCGGTTCAGACCTTGGAAGACGCGATCTCATCGGAAGTGCAAACCGAGGGGGCCATTTGCGAGACCAAATGGACCCAGCACCCAGTAAAGTTCTCCAAGCACGACATTTGCTTGTGCGCTGAGAAAACGAAGAGTGGTACCGGCGACGAGCTAGAGGATAGGTTCGCCGTTTTACTGAATCCTGCGAAGGATTCCATTGTCAGTGTTAGCGAAAGGCACGGCGACCCGCTGAGTATACTCCTCGAGCAGAGGAACGGCGTGGGCTCTGACACAATCCAATCCCGCAATGTATACCCGGCCAATTTGAAAAGTATCGATTTCAACGTCGACAGACTGAGAAAGTTCCTAAACAGGACGGAGAGCAGGATAAGTAGGATTTTGAACTCGAATGCTGGCAACTCGGACGTATCCGGCTTGGTAAGGACCACAAAGCTACCCTTCAGCGGGGGCTACGTCACCGTGCCATTAGAAAAGTCGAAGCTGCCGTCCATCAAAGATACGAAAGTCACCAACGTGATCCTCTCTGAGACGAGAAGCCATTTCGTCGTCACTGTACACGAGAAATGCTCAAACGATAGTAGCATTCCCAGATCCCTCCTTTGCGTGTGGGATTTGAGTTTGGCTATGCATGAACCGTTGAAGGTTTTGGTTGCAATGGATAACGTTGCTATTGGGAAATTCAGGGGCGTCTCTGACGGCATCGTAGTCGCTGCTCTAATAGACGGGTAAGATGCATTTTCCCTTTCAAAGTTTTCCTTATAATTCATGATGTTTGTAAAAATAAATGTGAATGTACTCTTTTCTCCGAATGAAGCTAGAATACTTTTATCGTATAATATAATATGATGTGGCACTACCACAGTTATCATATGATATGATTATACATATAATATGATACTAGTAGTGACACGCGGTAGCTTCTGCTGTTGCATGAATGGGCAGGCTCGTCTGGGTTTGAAGTGGAAGTATCATTTATACTCAGTATAGGTAATTACGTGTTCAAAAAGTATTATAATTCTGCATTTCGTCTGTAGGTCTGTGATTGAGGTAGCCGGGCCCACTTAAATTAAAAAAAAATATTTTTTCCTGAGAAATGGCCTTGGAATACAAGTTTATTTTTAGAACGATTCACTTATGGGACTTATCGGAACAAGCGGCGTGGATGCGAGGTGATGACTGCGTAGAAAGGACTACCAATTCGGTAGAAATAAAGTCGGAAGAACTCACGCAGACCGAATTGGATAGGGAGTGGAATCGAGCGCATGGTCACAATGAGTTGAGAAAGGTAATTTTTGTCTAATATCTATAAAAATTAATATCATATAAAAATTTTAATAGCAAAGGTGACATCTACAGATGTCACCTTTGCTATTAAAAGTTTTAAATATTTCTTTGTAAAATGTCATATGAAAAAGTGGTCGCGGCGCATTGCTTGAAATGAAATAAAAACAAAGTGGATTAAATAGATGGAGATTGTCGTAGGTGTGAAGATAAGCCGGTTAGATTAGTGGTTAGAGCGTCGAGACAGGTTCTATAAACTTTCGTCCGTTTTTCTTCAAATTCCCAGTTTTCATCCTAAGTGCAGATAATAATTAATGTCATGTAAAAATATATATTTATATTTAATATTTATTTGGTTCGTCAGTGTATTTGATGTTGACGAAGTCAATAGGGGTTGGATAATCAGGTACTGATAGGATAGGTGCCACTTTCTAGATCGTACGCACCTTAATATTTTTGGGTCTCTTAATACTTTTAATTTTTCAATTAATCTTGCTAGATACTGTATGTAGTGTCGGTTTTTAAGGGGCTTAATTTCTAGGACTTTAAGATCAAGGAGAGCATAGAAAAACATTTACAAATAGTATCGATATTAAAATCATGATGTGTACCATATTTGTAAATTAATTCTTTTTTTACCTTTTAAGGTACGGAACCATAAAAGTAAAACAGTAACAGCTTATTTATGTCTCACTGCTGGGTAAAGGCCTCCCATATATAGACGGTGTTAGGACATAGTCCAGCACGCGACCCCACCGATGATTGGCGGACTTCACATATCTTCGATATATTTCTTTTGTTATTGTTTCGAATATACGAATGTTCTTTGACGCCCGGATAATAGCTATCACTACTCTTTCAAATATATACACTGTATTTATGAGGATCGTCGTCACTCATCGCATGTAATATGCAATATGCATGCGCCCATGTGCATGTCTTTCCAGGAATACACGTGTCTCATGCAGTCCAGTGCTTACACCAGCAGCGGTGCCAACGTTGTTAAGGGCGATGCGAGTGATCGGATAGCGGGGTTAGAGTTCATGGGCGACGCGCAAATATGCACCATCCAAGATGGCCGCCGGAAAATTGTGGCACAGGTATTACATAATTTTAGTAATTTTTTTTTATTTTAAATTTTTATTTTATTAGTAGTTTTTAATGAGAGATGATTTGCAAGCGAGCAGGTAATTTAACTGGTGTTCAGTGATTACCACCACCTATGGACATATACAACTTGCAGATGCGTTGCCAATGATTAACAAATGGGCCCAGGTTAACTCACTCACCATACGAAACTATTCCTCTTCAGACCGGTTCTGTGAGTTTCAAGCGAAAAAGTAACAATATTTCATTACTATATCAATTGAACTTCACTAACAGGCAAAGACCGTTGCTCACTCCAAACGCTCTAAAAGCGAAATAGAATGTGATACTTAGTTTTTATTCATTTAGTTTTTACTCAAAAAAAAAAAGGCCTGCGCTTGACTGTAACCTTTGATGTTATTTTATATAAAAAAGTAAAGTAACACTGCTGGGCAGACTTCCTCTGCGGATTGGGGGACTTCACATATCTTCGCAATACTTTATTTTTGTTATTATTACGAAAACATATTTCCTTACGATGTTTTCCTTCACCGTCACAGTCAGCATTTAAAATATCATCGGTGTCGCCACCGGGGATCGAGCTCCAGATTGCTCGAGTTAAAAGCGAGCGCCCAGAACATGCGTTATGACGGTAATTTTCTACGCAAAGAACTTTTATTTCAGATTTGTTCGTTACAACGGGCCGGTATCCTCGCACTGTGGTCGGTAGTACGGGACAGACTGAGGGGTTCACACGACATCGGCAGGGCGTTCTGGTCCAAAATCGCTTTGGAGCCGCTCCAAACGCTCGATCTCTCCGAGCGTATTCATTCCTCACGATATTGCAACGGTACATTCGCGGACGCCTCACACTCGTTCGATTTGAGCGCCGCTAAGGGGCGGCTAGCGCTGAAATGGCGCGAGCAGGGCCCGCCATTTTCGAACGAGGCGCGGTGCGGCGTTGCCACACCGCGCAGCGCCGCCCGCAAGAGGGTGTTGCCAACTGCTAACGGGAAGCGTAACGGCTGGGAGACTGGTACGGTCTGTCACGATTTGAAGACGGTCCGAACGGACGGCGGCGATTGGTTTTTGGTTGCGAAGAATTGCGGCGAGGTGCTCGCCTGCGCGAGGTACGCTGGCGTATTCAAGATCAGCAGGTTCATTGTTGCCAGTGAGTGTTGTATGTTAGTTGATGATTAATTTAGTTTTGCTTATGGAATAGTAATATACGTAGTAATGTACCTACTGCAGCTATACAAATAAATGGCGTTTTAGGCTTTAATTCAAATTTGCCGCGCTGAGAAAAATATTTTGTGGTCGCAATTGATTCTTGTCGAATCTTTTTCAGTCGATTCGACCTTTTTTAAATAGTTTTTTTCTCCTTTTAACGGATTGTTATCGGAGAACGTGACATTTAGTATATTTAATTCTGAGTTCACAGAATGATAGTAAATTATACAATTAAATTGATTTATATTGCTATAACTTGATTTTCAGACACTTGCTTACGTGTTTGAAAATCAAGTAGCTTAAAACCATCTCGCTCACAGCTTTTAATAAAAAAGAACCGCACTATAATCGGTCCATTCATTTAGAAGCTACAATGCCACAGACAGACACTCGGACACACATACATACACATCAAACTATGACACCGCTCACCGCAAATCTGCCTTCAATTTTCACACGACGTCTTGTATGACATCACATGTCAATTTCCTGCGTACAGATGACACTTCGTCAATAACGCGCCTACAAGTGTCCCAGAATGGCCTACCGTACTTCGTGGCGGCCACCGAAACGGGCACTGTCAACCTGTGCTCCATCCAAGACCTGAGGGTCCTACTTACGCTGGACTGCAGGTGGGTCGGTATTGTATCAGCTCTGTCTCTAGAGTTATTTAGTACTGACTCCATCGAAAATTGGCACTTGTCTTGGTGCTAGACTACATTTGGCTAAATACGACTGGTTTCATCGTTGTGGATCGTAGTTTCGGCGCGCTTGATCTGAATGTGTCAGTATTTTTTTTTGAACCGAACACAGGCCTCCCCCACAGACCGCCACGAAGCACGATCCTGAGCCATTTGCACAGGTTGACCCCCCACTATATGGAGGTTCCATATAGTGGGGGGTCGTGTCAAGGTCGTGGCGCAGCTGGCTTCGGCGTCGGGGTGGTGGGTTCGATCCCCACACGGGACAACTATTTGTGTGACCCACAGATAGTTGTTTCGCATCCGGGTGTTGGTCCGCGTGAAATTTACGTTTGTAAAACGTCCTTACAACACATGATAATGTTATACTAAAGTAAAGGCAGTGCTTTTAATAAAAAAGAAACAAAAATAATACGACGCCGCCACTCGAGAACATTTCTTCGCCATCGGTTATCGGTTCTTTGAGTTTTATAACCGGCCCATTGCCACTTTTTTTATGTGAAAAGTTGCCAAGCGAGCAGGCGGTTCACATGATGTTGAGTTAATATCGCCGCTACCGCCCATAGACATATGCTACACCCCAGGGTTACAGATGCGTCAACCTTTTGAAGGTTGGGCTCCGGCCACCTCACTCACCAGACGAAACGCGAAAGTATTTATTATACTTCCACATTACGTCTTCTGTGAGGTCGTGGTACTCACCCGGACGAGCCTGCCCATTCGTGCAACAGCCGAGGCTGCCGCGTGGCCCTACCACAGTTGCCCTACTACACTTCAGATTACTAAGTCCATGAGATATATAAGATGTCGATTACGATTGTTTTTACAAGTCATCTGCTTTACTCCATATTTTAGGAACACCCCGCCAGCTACGGCGATGAAGTACAACGTCGACTCAAAGGGAAGGTATGCGGGAAGCAGCACGGGAGACTCCCCTTCCACTAACCTCGCTCTTGGGGAGGGCGGAAAGGTAAGAAAGAAAGAAAGAAAAAAAACATTTATTGCAAAATTACGCCACATGTACATTTAAACAATAAACATGAAAAGTACATAGTAAAAATGAAAAAAGAGGGAATAAAATTATTAAACACATCACACATTTTACACACACACTTGTGTGTGGCATACACGGCGAACAGACCGCACTCAGCTTAATGCTGCAGTCGGTACGAGGCTGCAGCGCTGGTTTTCAGTGGGCCTGTGAATTAGGAAGTTGAAAGTAAGTGTGACCGTTTCCCAAACTACGTTCCGTGGTCGACTGTTATTTCTCACTTATTGTTAAGAAGTTTTCAGAATTATGTATGTAGATATGTGTGCTGATTGTGTATGTTTTTATATTAAGGAAAGAAAGTTAAGTTAAAGTATGCAGGATATATTTGGCATCAGCCTACATTTGTCGCTGCTCAACAAATGACTCTTCTGTACAGAGGGTATTAGCAGTCCATCACTCGACTCCACTGAGGACTGGTAGGCCTCACATATTTTTTTTCAACACTTTTTTGGACGATTTTTTTGTTGTTTCGAAACTACGCAAGTTTCCTCGCTGTTTTCCTTCACCGCTGAGCACGTGATAAGTCAACACTTAAAATTCCACTTAAAAATTTCATTGATGTTTCCACCGTGACGGTAATTAAGATAGCTAGAGTATATTGAATTAAAAACTATCGTCGTCATTGGAGACTATGTTTTTAAGACTGAACTCCGCAAACTGACGAATTTTTAAGTTTACTGCTAATTCACGCCTCCGAGTGAATTAAAAATCACACACAAATATAAGTAAAGGTGAGCGATGGTTTGAGATTTGGTGATTTGGTTAGATTTGCTTTTCTTAATTAGTAAGATTTAATTTTACCTTTCTTTTCTTGTATCTTGTATCTTGTATTAAATGATGTTTTTGCTTTCAGTCCCGAGACTATTAAAGCTTCATCGGACGCAGAATCGGTGGGCTAGCCAGAACCCACGGGTTTGGACCCTCCGCTATGGGCAGGCCGCGCATGTGCTCATACGTGCGTTTAACTATGACACATCTAAGGGCCATCGAGGTTGCGGTTCGGACCGAACCCCCCGACGGCCGTCGACTGTGCATTAGCTAATCGGTGGCTGGGAGCGGTGAGAACCGCCCCGGAACGCGGGTGTACCTTGTGTACGCGTTGTGTTGGGTCTCGCCGTGCTCGGAGGCGAGGGCGAACTGGTGTTTGTTGTTACACTAACTGTGGGTGTAGTGTTATTCGGCGGGACCCCCGGCGGTGGGTCCATCGTATCTAAGTCCTCTTCGTCGACCGGGTCGATGAGAACGTTTCGCGGGCGACGCTTGTTTAAGTTCGCGTTAGTGTCCGGTTGGTAGTTTGCTGCGCTTACCACCAGAGTGTTGGGATGATGCTGGGCTCTATCGAAGAACCGTTTTGTCAAATCTTTAAAATGTGCGCGAATCGTCGGGAGTCTGCAATCGCTGTGCAGGTCGACGTTGCGCTGATACCATTGCGCACCGGTTGCGCGGCGGATAAACTTACTTTGGACTACTTGCAATTTGTTAATGCGCGTAGGGTTTATATGAGCGAAGATCATGCATGCGTAGGACATGATTGGCCTTACGCAAGCTTTATATAACAGTAATTTGTGCCTTAAGCCATTTTACTTCTCTTATTCGTTAAATTGTGTAGCCGGCCGGAGACGAACGCGGCTTTATTACGGACTTGATTAATGTGCGTAGTGAAAGTCACACGCGAGTCGAAAGTGACTCCTAAATATTTGACCGTTTTCTCCCAGGGGAGAGTTTGGCCATATAGTGATATTTGCCCCAACTTTCTGTACTGGCGAGGACCTTTGTAACGGTGTGGCGGATGGGGGTTGGGGGTGCTACGCGTGAAGTGAATCGCCACACTTTTTTCTGGATTTATATCGATTCTCCATTTGCGGAACCAATCGCCGAGGCGGTCGGCGGCGCTTTGGAGTCGAGTTGTTAATTGACTGAGGTTGCGGTCTGAGTAAAAGAGCGCCGTGTCATCCGCGAAAAGCGCGAGATTGACGTGGGGGTCTCTAGGTATGTCGCTCGTGTAGAGCGACATACCTAGAGACCCCCGCAAGGGTGAGAGGCAGGATACGTCTTGTAGTACGCCGGCCGTGAGGCGGCGGCTTGTGGAGAGGGTGCCCTCGACTCGATATCGAAAAGAGTGGTTCAACAAAAAGGCCCGGATGGTGTGTACGAGCCTATCTGGCACTTTGAGTGTGTACAGCTTGTAAAGCAAGCCGTTGTGCCGGACTTTGTCGAACGCTTTTGCGACATCGAAGAAGAGAGCCCCTGTACTGATGTGTTTGGAGTGGTTTAGGCCTTTAAGGATGTGCTCCGTTAGGCGGTATAGCTGGTCGGGACAAGAGTGTCTAGCTCGAAAGCCGAATTGTTCCGTCGGCAGAAGGCCGTTGGAAAATACGTGCTCTTTGAGCCTGTTTAACAAGAGCCGCTCGTAGAGCTTCCCCAGGCAACTGAGGGGGCTGATGGGACGATAGCTAGAGGGCTGATTAGCTGGTTTATTCGGTTTGCGAATGCCAATAACCGTGGCTTGTTTCCAGTCGTCCGGAAAGGTGCAACTGGAGAGAAGGGTATTGAAAATGGTCGCCAGTAAACAGATAAGCGGCCCAGGGAGAGCTTTGAGAATTTTATTACTTATATTATCTGGGCCCGGGGCGGATTTCGGTTTTAAATTTTTAATAATATCTTGGACCTCTTCGTGGGTCACTGAATTTAAAGGTTCGCCTTCCGGTGGAAGCGCAGCCCTAGTCTCGATTACGCGGTCCACCTCCGTTAGGTGGGCTGTATCGATGTGTTCGCGCGATGGCGTACATTGCTGCTCTAGGTTGTCCGCAAGGCATTCGGCTTTTTCGGAGTCATCTAGGGCTACTGAAGCGCTATTAGGTCTAACTAACGGCGGTAGAGATTCGCGGGGGTCTGCTTTCAGACTGCGGGCCAACCGCCAGTAGGTGGTGTGCGATGGCTCGATGTCCTCTAGGAGTGTCCCACGTTGTATGTCGGTGTTCTGATACACGATCTTTGACTTCTAGCTGAAGGCGTCGAAGTAGGGTTCGGTTCGATTCCGATCGGTATCGGTCGAAGGCGCGTTTGGCTGCATTTTTCTGTCTAATTAGCAGTCTTAGGTCGGGCGGAAAGTTAAACCGTCGGTCGCCCGACAGTTTCACCGTCCGTTCCGAGTCTGTGACTGTGGAAGTAATAGTTTCTCGGAGACTCGCTATCGCTCGTTTTGCGTCATCGAACGTAGCCGTGCGTCATAGAACGTCATAGAACGTGCGTCATAGAACGTATCGTCTCGGGTAAGTCTACTAAGTCCTGGGGGTCCAAGGCCTTGAGTTTGACCTCAAGACGATGCCAGTCCACTACGGATTTGGTCGGAGGGACCGCGCCGGCGTTCTGGCCCAGTTTACACAGGACGGGCCTGTGGTCTGAGTCTAGTTCATGGATTGTCTCTATCGACTCGATGTCGAGCGAGACCTCCCTAAATAACATTATGTCTAGGACACTCGGTGACGCGTGCTGGTAGTTGTCCACCGTAGGATACCTAGTGGGAGTCGCGGGAGCGACTATACTGAAATTTAGGTTATCGGATAAGCTAAAGAGATGCTTTCCGTTGTTGTTTGGGATGCTGTTGATGTCCCATGAGCCGTGTTTGCAGTTTAGATCGCCTGCAATTATCACGGAAGGGCCTAAGTTAAGAAGCGTATCTAGGTCGCTTTGAAGGAGGGTTCTATTCCCCGAGAGGTAGGCTGAGACTAGTACAAGCGGCCTGTGGCCGGTGAGCGCTAACCTACACGCGGATGCCTCTATTTGACTTAGCTCTGGAATGTCGAGCGGGCAACAGTGCAAGGACCGTTTATAATAAATTAGTGTGCCTCCCAGACGGTTTGCTAACCGATCGTGGCGGACAATATTGTAATTTGCGATTCTGGGATCGCGTACACTAGGTTTCAAGAATGTCTCTTGCACTAGGAAAATATCTACGTTATAATCGCGAAGGAATTCCGCGATTTCATCCCTTTGACCTTTTATGCCGTTTGCGTTGAAATACGAAACAACCAGATCCCGAGGTTTTGTTCTACCTGCGGTTGTACTTCCCATTAAGGTGTTTTTATGGGTCTAATTAACGACGCGGCGGAGCGCGGTTTTATTGCGCGGACTATTGTTTTTTACGGTTGGCTCGTAAAAGCCCAAAGGGCTTCCACAAGCGTTTTGTGTTGGCTAATTGCCCTAAGACGCTCGTGGCCAGATGTGGCGGCCGCTATTTTAGCGGACAATACGGCGAGTTCCTGCCTATTGATTCTATCTAATAAGCTGCAGATGTTAGCTATTTGCGCGAATGGGTCGTCCTTGTTTTCCGCGAAAACTGACGGAATTGGCTGCACCCGCGGCCGCGGCGCCGTTTGAGAGGCGGGCAGCTGTTGCGCGATCGGTCGTAAGGCGACCGGGATTACCGGCGTGGTTACCTGCGCGGCCACCTGGGGTTTCGCCCAGGCGTTTACGACGGGTACGGGCGCGGGAATGAATCTAACGGGCGCGGGTTTGGGCAACGTCGATTTCGCGGGAGATTTCCTCGCGGGAGTTTTCGGGGCCTTAGCGCAGCCTCTGTAGCTAGCCGGGTGGCCGGTGGCGTTACAGTTTACGCAGTCCGGTGGATCTGCGCAATCTTTCGGCTTCGTGCACTCGGTTGTGCCGTGGTCACCAGTGCATTTGACGCATCTTGGGTGAGCGAAGCAGTTATTGGCCGTGTGGCCAAAATGTTGACAGTTGTGGCACTGTGCCACAACACCTGATTTTACGTGGGGGCTCGATGACTAAGTCACTGAGCCCACAGACCCTCTTAAGGTTGAAAATGGCCTTACCTTCCGGGGTAGGGTCAAGTTCCACCATGACCATGTCCATAGGGACACGGGTGCGAGGGTGCCTGAGACGACGCACGGCGTGAACAGGGTATCCCTGAGTGCGGATGTCGACCTTAGCCATATCGACATCCGACTCTTTTGGGACGCCCTTAATTACGACCCGAAGTTTACGCTCTTCGGGTAGTGAGTAGGTGTGGAAACCTACCTTAGCTTCGCGCAAGTACTTTGTTACGCGGCGGAAATCGTCTGACGAATCGAGGTATACGCGGATACCCATATTTGTATTTTTTGACCGGGGTTGTTGTGGCGTTCAAACCACGAACAAACCTGGTGCCACTTTGCCTTATCTTGTATAATTATTGGCGGCGGTGGCTTGATTTTTCGCTCGGAGGCGAATGTCGGTTCCGACTGGGCAGACGCGGCTGCTTTTTTGGCGGGCGTCGCGGTGGGACGGTTTGACGGGGCGGCCTCGCTTTCGGGGTCGCTGTCTGTAGCGGGGCGTTTATTGCCCTTTTTTCGCGATTTGACGACGGTGAAGCTGTCGGCGTTCACGTTGTTAGCGGGGGTCGTTTCGACCTTCATGTCTGAGCCGCCGTCCGATTGTGAGTCGGGAACGACAGCGCGGAAGGGGGCCGAAATGGTTTGCGCGGAAGGCGCGTTGGGTTCGTTCGCGGCGGCGGAAGCCGACGCGACGGGCGTATCAATTGTCGCAGAGGGCGACTCGATGACTGGCGCAGAGGGCACCGGAGATGGCGGCGAGGCGGCAGCCGGTGAAGCCGGACTGTCGCTAGAAAATTCGACGACGATGCGTCGTTCCCTCGCGAAATTCAAATATTTTGACACAGGAATTCCTCTATGACGGAACCCATGTCGACGCTTGAGCCTTTGGGGCTTGCGCCCCGCCGGCGTGTGGTTTTCTAAATAGGCCTCCCCACCTTGCGGCAGGGAGGTGTGTGCCTAAAATTAACCTTTAGTCGCCTGCGCTTTAGGTGCGCTAGGGTGAGTACCTAGCGGTCGCCTAATGCAACAAGCACACAGGTAAAAATTACAATGCCGCCTCTGAGACGAGAAATGTGTGTAGATTCTACTTACGGACAGGAACCTGCCTACGAGCACAACACTACACTAACACTATCCGCTCGGAAGTCGGGCAAAGTTTCTTCGTTCTTCTGTAACGTTTCTTCTTTTTCTTCTATAACTTTTCTTCTCTCTTCTTGCTTGAGACTTCCCTAACCGTAGACGGCGAAACACGACAACGATGAGGCAAGCAGTGCACACCAAGAGATAAAAGAAATGATATTAGCAACAACGGTTGCAAGATGGCTTCCGGGTCGGTTGGCATGGGCCCTCCGGCTCAGAGTAACGTCCGTTCCGTGTGGAAGCACGAAGCGGAATCTGACACGAAGCGGAATCTCGCACGAAGCGGAATCAGGCACGAAGCGGAATCTCAATTTTTCTTTTCACTTGTTGGAACTGATTGACTAGTTAAGTGCTTTGACAAGTTACTACTTTAGCGAAGTATTTTACAGCGAAAAAAGTTAGATAACTATAGAAAATAGTTCGATAACCTGATAACCGGTCTTTAAAACAATTGAATAACATATATTAATAATGGTTGTTTATCTCTGCTTGGGATTGAATTTTAGTCTCAATAATTAAACGTGTGTTATCGCCGTCTTTTGGAAATATGTGTGTTTCTACCATCTAGCGAATTGTTCTGAGCCATATTTATATAGAGAACACTTAAAGATATCGCGCCTCTAATCCAAATCGTCTCACTTGCTGACAGGTTACAAGTGACGAGCTTGTCACGATCTACTTGATATGAAGAACGCTTACTGATTTCGAGGCTGTCGTCGAAGAGATAGATAACAAGTGACAGATGTGATGTTGATGAGCAACATACTATGACAAGCTTGTCATTTGGCGACAGGTGCCGATCTCGTCACTGCTGTGGTCCCAGACCAACCCGTTCGAGGTGGGAGCGTTGCTAGGCGACGGCGCCATGGTACTCTGGCGGCTCACCACCAGCGACATTGTGGGGCGAAGGTTCGGTGGTGCCGCCACGGCGTGCACCACATCCGCCGACACCGTGGTAAGCGCACCGCGCGTATATGAAGTAGACAAGTATAATTTTTTAACAAAAAAAAATCGACTTCAATTCGAAAATTAAATACATTATTAATACCTGTAACATTCAATGATGGCCCTCGATTTCTCTGGGATGCCATCATTAAATCCGGGTTTCCTTATCATGGTACTGCCCTTGGGATATCTTCTTTCCGACAAAAAAAGAATCATAAAAATCGGTTCATAAGCGACGAAGTTATCCACGAACACACATAAAAAAATATATACGAAAAAAAAATGTAATAATTGAGAAACCTCCTCCTTTTTGAAGCCGGTTAAAAAAAAAATAGTTTTTTTATACATTACCATCCTCTAAGACGAAACAAAACAATTTCAAACAGCGTATGGATGACGAACTTTCAATGGTGCACATTTCATGCTAATGTATTATTGCGTGCTATTTTTTAATTATGACATACGAGCGAAGCGATTCTTGAAGGTTCGCGGTTCTAATTTGGTCAACGGGTTCAGCTTTGATTTACAACGAGACTAGTAAGTTATGTCAAGAACACCAAAATGCAGCCAGCATTTCCTCGCTTAATAGTTATTCTTGGCCTAAGAGCGAGAAAGGAACGGGTCTTCTTGCCAGTCAACGTCAAACCAGTCGCGACCAATGATGTTTTAATAAAGATGACCATGTCTATATGGCGCGCCGATTAAATATTAAGAAAAATGTAGATAAAATACGTTGATAGTATTTTCGTCGGTGTGACAATCGGCCGTTGAGCTTAGTGGTTAAATCGTCTGGACGCGATTCGGGAAGACGTGGGTTCGACTCCCCCAGCGACGAAGAACTTTTCGTCCATTTTTTTTGCAAAATTTAACTGTCGTTGTGTTTGAACTCGAAATAATCAAATTTCAATTCGGACAATCGTAGTTCCTGTTAGAACGAATGACCCTGATATAAAAATTTTGAACTGTGGTAGGGCCACGCAGCAGCCTCGGCTGTTGCACGAATGGGCAGGCTCGTCCGGGTAAGTACCACGACCTCACAGAAGACCGTAAAGTGGAAGTATAATGCTTTCGCGTTTCGTCTGGTGAGTGAGGTGGCCGGAGCCCAATTTTCAAAAGGTTGTCAACGCATCTGCATACTCTCGGGTGCAGCAGATGTCCATGGCCGGCGGTATTCACTTAACATCAGGTGAATCGTCTGCTCGTTAGGCAACTTTTCGCATTTAAAAAATCCGATTTTTGTGCGGTGGCGGGCCAGAAAATTTGCATTATTTTCTTTAAAAAAAATGAATAAAATCGAACATGACGAATTAAGAATAAACGATGAACAAACGATTTGTGAAAATAAAAACCGAAAATATGCAAAAAGAAAACTTATATTCAGTCTTCACGACATAGTATAAATAAAGCAAAGTCGTCTTGCTGTCTGTCTGTCCTCGTGTATGCTTGGATCTTTAAAACTACGCAACGGATCTTGATGCGGTTTATTTTACTAGATAGAGTGATTCAAGAGGAAGGTTTATATGTATAATATAATAAACTCTTTTAATATATAAATACATTAAGCCCGTGCGTAGCCTGGGCGGGTCGGCAGTTGACTATAAGACGCTCACATATTTTTTTATCTGTTCGCAGGCTCTGATCACGCCACAGAGTGAAGTGCAAGTCCACAGATTAAATAGCGGACCTAAGGACAACATTGAGCTGTTCAAAAAATACACCTCACTCTTATAATGAACAGACGGGACATATTCCGTTTTCTTATTTTTTTATTGCGATAATACACCCCCGAAAACGTAGAATGTAATCTAAGTACACTCACTATTTGTATAGTTATTTATTTATTTATATGAATTTAAATAGCGATACGTGCAGTTTTTTTTTTCAATACAGGTAATATGTTTTTTTTTGAAAAGTTGCCAAGCGAGCAGGCCTTTCGCCTGGTAATAAATTAGGACACATTTTTACACGACGTTCTCTAGGCCCAAACTAAGCAACGCTCGTACTATGGATACTAATGAACTGATAAACATACTTTTCTTCTGTAAATAAACATGTGTTATAAATAAATAAACAACCACACAATGGACAACACTATACTCATCGCACAATATTTTTCCAATAGTGGGGATCGAACCCACACCCTCTGGCGCAAGAGGCAGGTACACTACCCACTACACCAATCGGGTCGATAAATAAATCGATATTGAGCGAACAACGCGTACATAGGACATGTATAAAATCTGATGGCTTGCAGATGCATTGATGACCTTTAAAAAAGTTGGCCCCGGCCACCTCACTCACGCGACGAAACTCAAAAGTATAATACTTCCGCTTAGCGCTGCTCTTCCGAAATTCGTGGCACCTGTCCGCATGAGTCTTTCCAATGATGTTTCAAGAAAGATTACGCATCCATACTGCGCGGTGTTTAAAAATTACACCTTTATATACATACCTAGATTACACGAGATAATTATTTAAGTGAATGTGACAGATTGTATAGAAACGTTTGGTACGGAAAGAGATAGCGGACTAATCAATTACACCAATTTGTGTAATAGTGCGAGGGAAGATATAGTGTAAGAGGGAGTAAGTGCTAGTGTCATATATCTACCTCGTATTTGTATAATATATCATTGAGTCTAGCAGTCTACTCCTTCAACAGTTCGAAGTTGCTTGGTCTAACAATATTTGGACAGAAACAACATTTAGCTATACAAGTTTTATCATTAGATTTTTTTTTAATAAAATAATCTGCTTTTTTAATATTAAAAAAACTTACCATATTAAAATGCTTAAATTTTAATATGGTAAGTATTTCGACGTATGTAGTAGATAAATAAATTAATCGGGATATCTTTGTGATAAAATAATGAATCATCTAATAGGGTGCAGTGGGGGTAATTCCGACATAAATTTGTATGACGTCACTAAGGGTCCAGTTTTCGATTAATTATTGAAAGTAGTTTTATATCTAAGACCATAATTGTTTTACATCTGTTTGCGTTACGAAAATAACTGTGTTAAATATTTATTCAATTCTTAAAATGCAGTTGGGGTTTTGGATTAGAGCATTTGAAATATTAAGCTAATATTCTTTTGCGTAAAAGGGATAATTACGAACTATCATGGGGTAATTCCGAAGTATTTCAAAAGTTGTATTTATTGAACTCTGGCCTAAAGTACATATTACTTTTTCAGTCGTAATTATGTGTTACACAAAATATACGCAATATTGTCCATAGAAACATTAATCTAATTTATTACAGCTTTGTTATTTCGTAATTACCCCTAAAATTGTACGTGGTTCTCAAACTTTAAGTTACAATTGTAGGAAACTTTTTGTTAAGAAGTTTTGTCCACTTATTTTGTACTAAATAATACAAGGTATTGGAAAAACCAACATAAATAAGCACGAGGAAGATCAAAGAATGTAATACATATTTATTTAATTTATAATCTTTTTCTTCAAGATACTTTCCAGCAAATCGAAATATTCTACAATGACGAATAGATCTGTCATTTTCTTCTTACCAATTCTACCGGCTGTACTTTTTTAAAAGACAATTTATGTCGTTTCCGGAAATTAATTAACCAGGGATATTATTCTTAAATGGTGTCGGAATATTGTAATTACGTGCACATATTCAGCGACATCTTCCATAGTTTAATTGTTCTGCTAATTTATTTTCTTCTATAGGTATGACGGTAGGTATTCTTGCATTAAACCTGACTGTTGCTTTATTTCTCTTAACGTATTCATGAAGAGTCGGCAAGGGGATTTTATATACTTGAGCTGCAGTATATTAAGTTAGTAGGTAGTTCTCCCTTTATAACTTTTTCGATCGCTTGAGCCAAATCGTGTGAAGTGTATTTTTTAATTTTCTTTCTTAAGTAATTTCGGGACATGATAGATATGTAAAACAAATTTGTTAATAATGCAAATACTTAAAAACCACTGCTAATTACTATGTGAAAGCTAAATCGGGTTATAAGGAAAATATAATATATCGGAATAAACCGAATTTTTTTTCGGAAGGGTATTTCCGAAAAAGAACAATAATAACAATTAGAATGATATGTTCCTCGTACATAAACGCAAAATACGATAATCTATGCTTAAAAGGAAAACTTGTTCATGTAACTTACCAACATTGCGAAATAAATTTATTGGGGTTATTATGAATCACTAAAAATGACGCGAAAAACACTTGTCCAAGAAAACTTGCTGTCACACACATAATATTGTCACTAGCGACTTGCTACGACTGAGACGGCGTGGTTATTAAATATGCTGTCTAGCCTAACGTTGCTAGTAGGGAAATATAATTATAATTAATAGAAATTTAACGATTTCGGAATATACCCGTTTTCGGAATTGCCCCACTGCACCCTATATAAAATTCTCGTGGCACGGTGTTTGTAATTGAACTCCTCCGAAACGGCTCGATTTTCGTGAAATTTTGTGTGCGTATCTGCCAGGGTGGCGAATCGAACAACATGAAATTTTTATTCCCCTAAATGTCCACCAAATGTGGGTGGTCCACCCCAAAACATTTTTTTCTACCCTACAAATAATTTATATGGCAAAACAACATTTGCCGGGTCAGCTAGTTTAATTATAACTTTTTGAAATGTTCCTTTACATGTGTTGTATATAAATTTCGGATTATGTTTTAATTAATTTCATTTTAACAATAATTTTGTATAAATATTGACTCTTTGTTACACAAAATTATACACATAAAATACGTAGGTACACAAACACACGTATACACTAATACATACATAGATACGTATTTTTATAGTTTTTCCACAATCAGATTAAACACGTTTTTCAATTACAATTGTGTTCATTTCTTAACACAACACATTATTAAATGGAACTATTTTTACGGATTGATCGCGTTTAGTTTTATTTATTAAAGTAAAATGATTATTATTATCGTTAATTAAAAATTAAAAAAAATTAGTACATGGCTTTTATTTTGTATATTGACTTTCCCCGCCCAGAATTGAAAAAAAAAAGATTGTTCTTAATTGGGCTTGATGAGCCACTGTTGGCCTTAGGGGCCTTTACAGATCCGACGGACTTGAGGTGGCCGGGCGCTCGAGGCGCCTAGCCTGAACCTCGCGTATTTATTATTACGCGTTATGGTGACTAAGCTCGAGGGCTCCCGAAGGAACCTCGGCTCGGGCCGTCACGCTATTTAATTCACCGGTTTGGGAGGCCGCCTAGCTCTTAGGGCGCTTTGGCGGGGGCTCCATGGAGTGATCAGGCTCAAGGGTCCCCGAGAGGGGACCTCGGCTTGGGCTGTCACTCAACACGCGTTTAGCATTCCGATTCGAGGGTGCCCGAGAGGGCCGGACCTCGGCTCGATCGGTAGCTGTTATCTGACTGGGGGGATCTCTAGAGCTATCGTTACTACCACTTCGTAAAGCGTTGGCGCTGGGAGAAGAAGTGGCGGAAGAAACTCCAGCAACGCTTCTATCTTGAACTGGGGAGAACCTGCCAGGTACGTGGCGGAACCTAGTATATGTTTGCCGCACTCGCCGGCGAGTGCGGTTTGTGTTGGTGTGTGTGCTTGCGAAGTTTTTTAATCCTTTCGATGGCGATAGTCGTCTCATCGTCAGGGAAATCGAGAACGTGTCGCGGTCTACGGTGATTGCGGCGGAACGTACCTAGCGGCAGGGGTCTGTAGGTGGCGGCACCTACGATTAGCGGGTTGGGATGCGCGGCGGCGGAATCGAAGTATCGGCGCGACGCCGACTTCAGGAATTGAGCGATGGTGGGCAACTCTAAATCGACATGAAGGTCGATATTGCGCATGTACCAGGGTGCTCCCGTGGCTCTGCGCAAAAATCGATTTTGGATGACCTGAAGCCGGTGTATTTGCTTCGGAGCAATGTGTGCGAACACTGGACTCGCGTACGTCATGATAGGGCGAACTACTGCCTTATATAGAGTCACCTTGTTCCGAAGGGACATTTTAGACGTTTTGTTGAGGAGCGGATGGAGGCGACCGAGTACGAAGGCCGCCCGGTTCTTGACCCGAGTCACGTGCTGGTTGAATCTAAGTTGGGAGTCAAGGACGACACCTAAATATTTAACTTTGTTCACCCATGGTACCGGACTATCCATGAGTTTAACGGGGGGTGGTTTATCTACGTTTTTATGCGAAAAAAGGACGGCCGCGCTCTTGGCGGGATTGATTTCGATCCTCCATTGCCGAAACCAGTCACCGATGGTGATGGCTGCAGCTTGGAGGCGTCGATGGATAATTTCGGATGTTCTGCCTGCTGTATAGAGACAGGTGTCGTCGGCAAATAGGGCAAGTTCTACATCTTTGACTCGCGGCATGTCATTGGTGTAGAGCGTAAAAAGGACTGGGCCCAACACCGACCCTTGAGGCACCCCGGCTCGAACGGGATGCGTTGTCGAACACACGCCTTCGACGCGATAGCGAAAGGTCCGATTACTTAGGAAGTCTCGTATTATGCATACGAGACGATCGGGCACTCCGAGCCCGTATAACTTGTATACGAGCCCGTTGTGCCAGACTTTATCGAAGGCCTTTGCCACGTCCAAGAAGAGTGCTCCGGTGTTGAGTCCGCGTTGGCGTTTGACTAGTATGTGCTCCGTGATGCGGTGCACTTGATGGGTACAAGAATGTTTGGCTCTAAAGCCAAACTGTTCAGGGATGGGGAGCCCTTTGGCGTCCATAAGGGAT